CTTTGCGGTACTACCTTTTAAAGATTTACAAAAGCTGTCGCTTCTAATTATAGTTCATAGTGATGAGCATTATTACATATTTATTAGGTATTGGCAAATAGTTTGATATTAGTGGCACACATCGGCTATAAAAAGTGCAATAGGCCTATGCTGGTATGCTATATGCGGTTTTAACTGAAAGGAATTACTTTTTCAAGGTAGAGAGTACAGCTGGTTAAAACTTTTTGGTAACCTCTGTGTGTGATGGAGATGTATGTCTCGGTTCTATCGCCACCTAAAGCTATAAAATACGCGGATTAATAACGCACCGTCTTTCAGAAGACACTGATGTGCTCTTAAGGATCGTAATAAAGCAGAAGTTTTAAACGCGCATCCGTTTCGAAGGTCAATGAACATAAACAATCATTTAACACACACAACATAGGCCTCCAAATAAGCACTTGGCCATTTGGATTTGTCTAAATTTCTAGAAAGCTATAAGTAAAACTTCATCTTTAACATAAATATGAGTTTATTATTTGATGCAAGTTTTCTTTACCTTTACACTACATCACATCACAGTTTGCTATTTTCAGATTCTGAAGGCCGCCGTAAGTCTTCGATCTAGTCTAGCCTATGTTGTGTGTTAAATTAACTGATTAAAATTAATATAATTAATTAAATGTATTAAATTAATTGATTGACCTACGCTACGGACATTATAACTATGAATTGGCTTATACCGTATAGGGGCCTACATGCTCTTAAGAAAGGAGCAAGAGATTGCCTCCTGGTGTACCGTCCAATGGACCTTTTGCCTAAGCCCTGTTCCTTGAATATTGTTGCTAAGATCCCACAATACAACATAAACCACGGAGAAATAGTTTAAACTCATTCCTCCATGGGTAAACATACGGTACGTAAATTGCTCAACAATTTCATCTTTTTTTCAAAATCGTGAAATGTTATTGTTATTCTTTATAAATAAACCCGTGTTTGTTTAGCCTAAATACCGGTTTATTTATAAAGCTTAAATACCGGTTTATTTATAAAGAATAACAATCACACTATTATACGTAAACTGCATTTGTGGGAGAACTCATGTGTTTGAGGGATTTGCTCGTATTCCTGGCCATTTTCTCATTGGTGATTTGTTGAGTATAATTAACACACTGGAAAAGTCAAATTTACCACCACCACTAGCACTACATGCGGCTGCCGTGGGTCCGAACCGGTCCAGTACACATTTCTTTATCTTTCCTACCTTTACTAAACCTGAAAAACAAACAATAAATTAGTGTTTTCATTTTTTTTGGAACATTTTCGTAATATGGGTTGTGTAAGTAACGGGGAAATCGGTTTATGATTACAATGTTAAAAAGATGGTTCTGGTTACCATGACACAGTCAAAATTACGACTGACATATAATACTTCTTACGGCGAATAAGATGAATATGGAAATACAGTCAGTGATTTTTATTATGTAAAATTATAATATCACGATGAAAAGTATACGCATATCATTACGATGACTTGATTTATGATTTAATAATTATAACACATTTCTTAATATCTAGTCATGGATTCGACTCCGTGTGTCAATTTTTTGTTCCCGGCTTTTCTTTTTGTATATCCCTGTGAAAATTTTTTTTTTGTTGTTGTTGTTGTTGTTGTCACATTTAATACTATAACAGCGATTATGAGGCTTATGAAATGTACTGTTTAATTGTGGGACAAAACTAAGCCGTATATTATGGTTTTTTATCATGTTTATTTGATGTTAAATTCAATGAACATATTGTCAGATTTAATCATAGTTTAAACAGATGCTATTATGTACCAAAACAACAACACAACCATCGACCGTGCTATAAAATCATAGCCAATAATATCGGTGAATCTCGGCAACAGAAGTACAATGACATGAAAGCAGATAGCCCCGGTCTCACATTTTGAAAACTATGTTTATCGTGTATTATAACGCAGCTGTTTAGTCGAGTTCTCCACTATTAAACACAAGAGAAAACAATAAATTGGGGGCTCTGATGATCTAATTAGGTTAGGGAATTCAGGAACAATGTTGACATATCGAATATCTTATTCTGTCATACAATCTACGAATATATATTTTAATTATTTCGTTAGTAAATCAATCTTCGACATTTCCCCCGAGCGGACCTCTGTGTTAAGAGCAAATATGGCACAAAGGTAAATCAGTGGATGTGAAGCCCAGATTAAGAATGCCATTAATGTATAAATGAGGCCTACGGGTATATACTAAAGTCAAATCACGTGTCATAGTCAATCCTACTCCGATACGTAATAATGTAGTGTTATTATAATACAGATTACCGCAAAAAATGAACATTGTTTAATGCGTTTTGTTCTGTATTAAAGTTAAATAAATTATAATATGATATAATATAATATAGGCATAATATAATATAATATCATATAATAGGCCCTATGATAAATACGGTATAATATAATATAATTTTTCCCATTAAGACACACTTTTTTGAGGTACATTGCTTAATACGCAATGAATATTGTAAAAAAGCACACGGGATAGTAACTGTGGTATGGATGCTACACCTCCAGTGGTGACTTCATGATATATTCAAATTGAACATTCATGTTTCACCTTATGATCTAACACACTGTAAATTCAATTCAGCTTTTATTTCGGATCAGTTTCCATAGACAAAACAATCACAAGAAAATAGCAAGGCCCAGCACCAACAGTATATCAAACAATGTTAAATATATAATACCGGGGCCTGAACGAAGTCAATTAATTAATTAATTAATTAATGACAATGCACTATGTCTACAATAGCAACGTCTACAACAACTCATTCCACTTCAAAAATTATGATGTTATGTTATAATAGCAACGTCTATTGTGCCGGTACATACAACAACTGATTTCACTTCAAAAGTGATTAATTATCGTTAATAGTTTCCATAGACAAAACAATCACAAGAGAATAACAAGGCCCAGCACCAACAGTAAATACAAACAATATAACTGAACGAAGTCAATATATTAATTAATGACAATGCACGATGTTTCTACAATAGCAACGTATACTGTGCCGGTATATACAACAACTGATCCACTGCTAATATTCCAGATAGGCGTAAAGCCTGTCCAAACTATATACAATTTGACAAAAGAAGAACATGTTACATGCCTAAATATGGTCATGATGACATCACATTATGACCATATATAGGCACATCATGACTATATATGGACATACATCAGTTTTTTGTCAAAGTCAATTTGATATTTTTGACAGAGGTTTAGGACTACAAAACACTACGGTAATTGATTAGACTTATAAATAAAGGTACAGACGCTAATATTCTAGTATCGAGCAGGAGTTAAGTAAAACGAATATAAAAAGAAAAACAGCAAAAGATTCACAACTGGCATGATTTGGATTTGATGTTGGATTTATTCGGTGTAAACACCAATGATAACACACGAAAGTCTGAAGAAGACGTATTTTCAATGGGGTCCTGCTGGTATTAGGCAGTACACCAATCCCCTACTCTTTTCCGAATATTGTAGTTTACTGCGTTCTTTAACGTGCACCCATGGGTCATAATGCACACGGGGCCAACTCATTTGAAAGACGGTTCGCTATCGTAACTTGCATTTCAGCCCTCCAGCTAAACACATGGAAATAGAACCGGGAACCAAGAGATCTTTACGGTTCAGCGCACACACAGTGGCTACCACCAGTTTAGCCAACTTAGCTAAGCTGCCCTCCATACCTATCATTTTTCTTGTTTGTGTTCGTTTATTCGTGCACATTCTTTATACTGAACAGAAATTGAGTCTACTTATATATATAGAGAGAGAAAGTACAATATTAATTTCTAATGAATAAATAAATAAGAATCAAAAACTATGATTGGCCAGATTAACAAAAGCTGGCGCGTGATGACACAATAAAAATGATAGAACACAGACGGCAATGTAAACTGACTAAAAAAAATCATTTGTTCATAATGGTGTATTAATTTGCAATCTAGACATCGTGACTCTCGATTTTATTGGGGATCCACCAACTTTAAGTCACATCCTCCTATTCCTACACTAATGATAGGCATATCAAGCATCAGTATATGTCGTTACCACACAACTCAGAAGGAGATCGTTGGTGAATTTAATGGTACACGCTATGGTGTTGATGACGCATTATTGCGTTGAATTGCGTTTTTGGTCACAGAGCGGGTATCTAAAAAGATTGATTGCAGAGATTTGTAAAAGGAGCTGCTGATTGACTACTAAAACCAGGTATAAAGTATCTGAAAGTTATTTCTGTCAGCAGAAGTTGTTACTTTAGGCTTAAGGCTATATTACACACGTGATGACAGCGATAAAAACATTCTGTCGCACTGTCATGTACACAGCGCACGCGACGCGGTCTCGCACTAACTCTCGAGTCTGCAGTTTGAGGTTCAGCAAAGAATGACCGGAGTCACTGATGACGAGAATATTTTTTGCCGCGTGACAGTTTCTGGTAATAAAATATAATTGTGCTGAACAGCGTAGTGGCGTCGTATACAGTGTGAATCAAAATATGAGAGCTATTTGTTCTGCGGCTGTCACATGTCGCAGTCGTGTGTCGCTGTCGCTATCGCATTTCGCTGTCGCGTGCCTCTGTCGCATACCCTGATAAGACAAACCGTATGTCTGTCAATGTCTTAATAGGAGGAGAGTATGAACCATCTAGATCAAAATATAAACAAAAGATTATGTCTAACCAATGTATATTTAACTGTAAAAGGAAGGTCTAACGTAGGTTTATTATAGTCACAACAAAGCCTATAATCTGATCTAGAAAATCAAACTCGATTATACATTCATTTGTATTTAGTTAATTGGTTAGTTGTATTTGTAATTTGTATTTGTAGTTCGTATTGGTAATTCGTAGGCTGTTTTAATCCGTATTTTGTAATTCGTTTCGTATTTGTAATTTGTTAAAACTGTGTTTTCTTAAAGCCATGCTCCGGAGGGGAAAAATTAATATGCTGATGTACCACCCGGAATTGTGTGTGACAAAAACTCGGTAACGAGTAATAAGGTACGGTACAGACTTTTAAATATTTAAATACTGGGGAAAATATTTGAAATCACTCGTTTCGTCCATAAATGTCCTTTGTGTATTATTGAGTATTTGGGCACAGGTGGAGTTATGATCTCTACGGTATTCAAGATTATTATGCATAATACATTGTATTTCAGTTAGGCCTAAAGTATATTCAATTGAAGTAGGCCGGTGTATATTTTTGTCAAATCATTGCCACCAACGAACAGAATTCCATGCACATATTTATGATGAATGATGAATAAGGTATACTGTATTTTGCATGTTTAAATTTAATTCTGTATGTACGATATAGTAACCAATCCATTAGATTGATAGAAGATTGTAGCATTAATAAAACAATTTAAATCGAGGAAATCTTTGAAACGACGAAGAATCCGTACATGTTGATGCTATCACAACTTGAAAACACTCTTTTCTTTTTCTGTCTTGTAACACATCGTCATAACGCACAGTGTTAAGTTGCTCTCGGGCTCTGGTTTGATGCAGGAGCTATTGTAGGCTCCCGACTGTGTGTCCTATGAGGAAATCAAAGATAGAAATGAGTGAATTCTTTTTAATTTTCTCAACCCAATGGATTTTAACGCGGCCTACCATCATTTCATTTAACAAAAAATCCTGTTGTAATTGCACGTGGAATTCCGATTCGAATTGATTGTATTCTACCCTTGTTTTGTGCGGATTTTTCTTGACTTTATTATTATATAAGAGAATCCTAGTCTAAGGTATATTTATCAGCTAAAGCCCAGTCTTCATGATTTAATCCATTGCACGAACGAATCCCTGCGCAATGTAAGCCTATAGACACGACCTGTTTCCAAATGAGTGTAATTCCATAGTCAAATATTTGAATTGTTAGTTACATCGGGAATTTCAATTGAAAATAAATATAACTAGAAAAATTTTTTTTTACCAATTAACAGAACTCACATTAACAAGGCCTATTTTTATATGCTTTGTATATACATTGGACCGGTAATCAATTTCAATATTTTTTTTAAATCAAATTTATAAAAAAAACCCAGAAAACCCTCATTTTTGTTTTATACGGTATGTATCTCATTAAGAGTTGCTAACTTATTTAATCCTTAGATTACTCTGTTAGAAGTGCTATCATCACCAAATACCTAAATGTATTTAATTTGATAATGTATTGTTTTCTGTCGGTCGGATATATATTCTTCTTCTATAATCTAAAGCAATAAACTATATGCATATTTTCCATCGCAAGCCGCCGACGGTAATAATTACAATTCATAGATCGGCGGATGATGTCTTTTTCCCCCGGCGTCGAAATGATAAATACAATAACGATAAATAACGTACCGGTCAGTATTTAGAGACTGTGACATTATGTCGAGAACAAGTAAACAGCTGAGGAGGCTCAGATAATTTTCTCTATGCTCAGATATTGCAGCATCAAGATAAGCATGGATCTCGATAAGTATCATTAGCCATAATCCAGTCCGGCTTAATAGCTTTCAACATACTCAACTGTATTTATATAATGTATTTTATATCTTTAGATGTTTTATAATAATCTGTTAACTGAGTGTTACGCAGTCTAGTAGGAGTATAAACTACTTTCAGGAGTCCTTCGAAACCTTTCACAGCACCAGTCCTCCCTCATCACACTCAGCAATCTGCTAAGTATGACCTCGTACCTGCTGCGTAAGTTACAAGAATGTAATTGATACATGTAGGCCTAAGTATTTACTCAACAATTGTTATTCAAGTATTTACTTAAGTAATTTTATTTAAGTATTCACTTAATTTTATTTATCGCCATAGCAGTACAAGTTAAATTCAATCAATCGAACGATCGACAGACCAACCGATCAGCCACTGAACCTCTGAAGCACATATTCATTCATGCACCCATTCATTCATTCGTACGTTCGTACGTTCGTTCGTTCATTTATTCATTCATTCATTCATTCATTCATTCATTCATTCATTCATTCATTCATTCATTCATTCATTCATTCATTCAATCAACCAATCAATCAATCAATCAATCAATCAATCAATCCATACATCCA